CAGTTTTGCTGCAGTCTGTGTTTGTCTGAGAAAAGAGAAGAAATTGATCAGCATAGGGTGGAACTTGTTCACCAGCTAAGACTGGATGGAGGGTGTGTGTGTGTGTTTGTGTGTGAGAGAGAGAGAGAGAGAGAGAGAGAGGGAGGGAGAGAAAGTGCAAGGGCTGTCGCTGCAGACTCCTGCTGCAGTAGCTCACTTTGGGCAAGCAGCTGCAGACAGGGAGTAACAGACAGCAGAGGCAAGCAGACAGGTACAGACCTGGTGTAATAATGGGAGGGGGTAAGAGGTGGAGGGCAGTGGATGCTGGCAGTTAGGGGTCAGGGAGCAGAGGTCAAATGGGGGATGGGGGATTGCGAGGTCGCGGGATGCGGCGGCAGGCAGAAGCAGCCGGAGGAAGCAAATGTTTTTGGTTTTTTTTTTTGTTTTTTAATCTGTGACGGGAGCTTGTCGTCGTGTCGGATGCTAAAGGAAGTGGGAAGAGGTGGAAATATGAAAGTGTGTGCGGGTGGGGGCGGAGGGGGCGAGTGCCGATGAGTGTCATGACATGTCTGCTGCCCCAAATGTCTGGAGCAGGGAGGCGGGGAGCGGTGGTTGTAGTGTTGGTGAAGGCGCTGAGATGGAGCCGGTGAATCAACAACTGCGATGGAGTGATGCGGCAGAGGGAGGGGGGGCGGGCTTGCCGGGCAAGGGAACTTCCAACCTCACTGACCTGCATCTGGCGGCCACTTCCCCCACAGACACCTCAGCGTCACCCCCCTCCTTCATCTAACTCTGTCTTTCTACCCTTGGTACCTTCTTCTACTGCCGCATCTCCTTAAAGGCGAAGTCGGTGGCAGGCAGAAGAGTGAGCGCGCGAGGCAATACGTTGTAGGGCGGCGCAGAGCGTTCATTTCCGGAAGCTTGCACTTTGCTTGGCCTTCCCCAGAGAAAAGGAGACAGTCAGACGTCTATGTGATTTTTTTTTTTGTTCTCTGAGGGGGAGGAGCCAGGTGGCTAGCGACGGGTGGCGGGAGGGAGTCTGGATGAGATGGGGTGAAAAGAGGAAGGGTGTGTGTGTGGGGGGGGGGGGTCTGATAGGTTTGGGTACATGATACTTTGTCTTCATTATTTATCCGCTAATATTTCGAGCAATTTGCCATTTCATGACATCCATTTATGGGTTGGTAGGTTATACCTGCAATGCGTGTTTAGTTTTTCGAGTTACTGTTTAAAATGCTGATTGATGCCAAGTGATTACCTGCCATGCTCCCCTCTTGATGGTGAGACAGTTTTCTGGTGAGCTGTTATAGTCTGAACTTGCCACTTAGTCTTGACGAGATATTTTTTTTGGCTTTTTTTAATTCTGTGGGGGTTTTTTTTGTTTTGTTTTTGTTTGTTTTTTTGAAGAGCAGCTTCAATATCGTCCCAGAAATACTGAATTGTTATTTTAAAAATGAACCGTATCGATCACACTCAGGGGTTTTCACTTCTGCGTTTGCGAGGCTCGGCATCTATTAGTCAAGGTGAGCGGACCGTCTGTCAGACGGGTCCGGGTCGTGCCGTCCTCGCGGGGAGATGTGTCGACTGTTGAGCGGCCGATGCTCGAGGACACAAAGGCTGCTTGGCTGCAGGGGCTTTTCCTTTTTCAAACACAAAAGGCGAGTTGCACAGAGCCACGGGCTTGTGTGTTTGTCTGAGCCTCTGCTTCGCTCTTGGCGCAATTGGCAAAGTCATTTTGTCATCATGTCGTCTGCGACGAATCGAACCCGTTTGTGTTTCTTTGCTGTTGATGCTGCTTTGTCTTTTGTTATATTTTGCATGAGGAATCATTCGTATGTCTGTCATTGCGAAGAATCACACTGAGCCCCCTGGTCGAGTTATGATGAGTGGATTAAAGAAGACCAAATATTTTGCAATGGGCATAAATCGACTCCTTTTTAAGTCACGATAGTAAGAAAGCGTATGAATATAAGTCGAGAAAAACAATGGTGTCTTGCAGCAGACTGCAGCCCCTCAGTAGACTCTGTCGTACTTCACCTGCTCCCTGAGACCCTAACTTGTGAGCTCTCCTGATAAAAAATCACGGGTTAGGCTCTTGGGATGCGGGCGGAGGGCACAATCGACTTTCAGGCGCTGGCCAAAATAGACAAAAGAATTATGATTTTGCGCAAGGAAAGGACATCACATGTTAGCGGGATGGCTGTGATCACATGAATGGAATGTGCATGTCTCGGCGGATTGGCGTTGTGTTTTTATTACGTGAAAAATCCAGCATGATTTCCGGAGTATATACATCCATCCGTTTTTTTTGGTACTGTTTATCCTCACGACGATCGCGGACGCGCTGGAGTCCATCGAAGCTGACTTTGGGTGAAAGGCAAAGGGGGTACACCCTGAACTGGTCGCCAGCCAACAAGTTTACACATCGCTCGGAATGTTTTGCAACATTGGCGTGCGAGGAAAATGTAATGAAGATTAGGAGAGGAAGGACAGCACCACACCCCAGACTCATGCTGATAAAGTCCTGACAGCACAGCATAGAAATGCTGAGACACAGCCAATAGCTGTGATCTGGACTGAGGCAACTCCTCCCAAGTGTTCCCTCCACCTTCATTCTGACACTATAACGAAACATCTGCTGCTCTTTTCGACACAAGAAAGCAATGTCTTTTTTGTATAATAATAAATAAAAAAAATCCTAATGTATCATGTTAACCAAGTGATAATCTAAGACAGAAACAGTAAAAGAATTGAAGACATTCGTCAGCAAATGGTGTTTGTGTATATCGTGTTGTTAAACTGCAGAGCGTAGGAAGCAAAGCTGGAATTCTTTTTCTCTCTTCATTTGACAATTAATGTCCAAATTATTCATTGCCGCGTCATGTCAAAACCAAGTTAGTCGTTTCTGTCAATCCACATTCAAACTGGGGCTGTTAATATGACTTGATCAGGAAGGCCTGGTTAGAAAATGAGCTTGGATATTAACAGGCAAATGAGAACATGGAATTGGCCTCTTACGGACATGACCATAGGCGTGTCATTACAATAAATTAGCTGTAATGGGTAAAAAAAAAAAAAAAATCTCACCGTTGTTCAAAGGTGTGGGGTAATTCGTCATTTGTAGCTTGACCTCGTTTGATGACTCCTCGGGCTGACTGCCTTTTTTTTTTTTAATGCACATTATGTGGCGCCATACACTTGTTCATACCCTTCTTTCCATCTCTTTGTCTCCAATCTTACGCCGTCTAATTATGTTTTTTTTCTTCCTCCATTTCCCATTTGGTTTCATTCCTAGCGAGCATCGCCGATGCCAAATCATCAGACAGTGTCTATGCTACATAGCCCCCTCAACCCCCCAGCAACAGCTGAAGGGACGCCATGCCCCATGAATACCAAACAGCCACGCACAGTGCGACAAGTGCTGAGCAGTCAGATGCGCCGCAGCCAAAGCGGAGCTGGTGCCCACAAAACAGCCAGACAGTTTTATTAGGCTCTGTCTGACACGCAGTCAAGTCTGGCAGCACCCAGCCCTCTGATGAAATCATCAGCGGCTCCCTCAACGGTTAAAAAAAAAAAAAGCAGTGAGCTGGGTGAAATCTGCCAATAAATATCCCCTTGTAAAAAAAAAAAAAAAAAAAAAAAAAATTGGCCCCCAGCTAGTTTGTAAATACGACACGGCCGGCGATGACAACTTAGGTGAAAGTCAAACTAATTCGCATTGAACAAATGGTGCATTTACGTCTTGCGTGCCATGAAAGCAACGTTCCATCGGTGGCACGGGAAGTGGTGGTGGGGGGGGGGGGGGGGTGGGAAAAAAAAAGGGGTCGATGAATGATTATGATTAATGAATTGGGTGAAAGCTCTCAAGGTTAATTCATTTGCATTTGTTTGGAAAAAATAGTCAGGTTTTTTTTTGTTTGTTTGTTTTCTTTTCCACTAAATTGATAATACATGTGTTGAAATAGAGGAAACGTCCCCCCACCAAAAAAAAAAAAAAAAACATTTTTGGATCCTATATAAATAGCTGATGATATATAAAGGCTGCAATATATCACAAAAGTGCCCTTGTTTATGGACTGTGTAAAATATTAACAGTGGAAAGCTTATCATGTTATCAGCTTACAGGGTGCATGAAAGGGTTAAACATCTCGAAATTCAATATAAAAATCATCAATCAGTTTATGTATTATTAACTGATTTCTTAATTTGCATTTTAATAATACAGTAATGTTGCATTTTAATGGAAAAAAAAATACACAAACGTGAAAGGGCCTACGAAATTTTGAACAGAAGTACGAAAAAGGAAGTAGACTTAGTCCAGTTCTTGAAATAGGTGCCGGTAAACCAAAAGGCTATCGAGTGTGTGCTGGAGATGACTGGACTGCGTTGTTCCGAGGTGGTCGTGTTCGAAAATGCGTCGCCACATTGCTCGCTGCTAAAACTTATCAGGGCAGATTAATGTTTTATCCACTGCGTTCGGATTTAGGGCTGATCTGTGAATGAGGAGTATTTTTATTTTTATTTATTTATTTTTTGCAGGGTTCTCCCCTTTTTTTTGGCATCGATTTTCATATCTTGTTGTTTGGTGAATTTGCTTGTATTTAGTGGATCTCTTATCACAGCAGGATGGGAGGAAAAAACGAGGAGAAAGAAAAGAAGCGGGACGTCAGGTATGCTGAGTAGCAGCGCAGCATCGAAGAAGAAGAGGGGGCGGAGGGGGTTTTTTTTTGGGGGGCGGGGGGGAGTGTCTGAATTTCCAGACACTGCGGCAGGAGGCCAGACAGTCACCTGAACACACGCACGCTGATGATGACGGCGCTCACGCGCACCTGTACGACAATATGCGGACACGCATTTCTTTCTGCGTTCCGCCTCTTAAGCTCTGCATTGAAGCCAATTCGACGTTGTTTGCAATCCGCTAAAGATTACGAATCATCGTGCCACCAGTAATTGTGTTGGCTCGTGCATTCCAGGGCAAAGTTTTCTTCGGGGGTGCGGGGATGGATGGGACAAGTGATCAACTTAATTAGCGTTCTTAGATCACAGTAAGTGATGTTTAAAGCGAGGTTGTCAACCCAAAAGGACAATCGAGAGATGCGCTAAGATTTGAGGACTCTCACGATGAAGATGTGATTGACAGGCAAGGAACCATGACGAAGTGGAGAAGACCCTGCACGTTGTGAGCTACTTGTCTCAACCCAGATGCTCTCAAAGCAGATTTGTTGAGGGCGCATTCCGCCTCGGTCCTGCGGGCCCTGCTGCCTGCCTCCCCTTGTCTCACGTTCACTCCCCTTCTCTCATCATACCCCATCTGTGATTTACCTGAGAGGCGTTGCCAGGGAAACGCGGTCTCAGGCTTGCGCCTTGATGGACTTATTGAACTGTAACGGGCTGGGATAATTGTCCTCTGTCTTCTAGGTTGGCTTTGAGACTCGATTGTGACTTCGAGTTTGCCACAGGAAAAATCTTTTCACATCTTGGCACCGAATAGTCATCACGTTTTTCATTTCAGACAGATTCATAGTCAGTGTACATGTTGGAATTGAATTACTCTAATTAATAGTATTTCATAAGTTCGGGTGGAATTATACACAAACATGAACAGACATTTTCTTTTCCCATCTGGACCAGGTCATGACCATAAAACACTTCCTGTGTTGTCCAAGCAGGCAGGTTGAACACTCAATCGTTGTATCAGCCTTTGTTTACTTTGACTGGTTGGAAGGAAACTGCATTTGACCAAAAAAAGGAAGATATGTTTTATGTTAACTTTCGATGGGTCGCCAACTGTCACGGAAAAAATGCTGTGACCAAATTAATGCATAGTCAAGAAGAGAAATTCTGGGTCAATAACCTTTTGACATGTATGATGTAATAAAATCATGACACCTGCGGTCGTGATGATCCATTTCTATGTAGTGTACAGAAGAGGTGGGAAGCTTAGAGTAAGTAACTCTGAACCTGAAATACCCTTTAAAAAAAATGGAGTGAATTACTGGGTAGATAATCCAGCACTGAGTCCAAAAAGGGTCCGAGCAAATGCTGGGCTATTGCTACCCAGCATTTCTGGTTGAGTGTAATTTGAACCCTGATCCCCATGTCCACAGAGCTATCGAGCTGCCACCAACATTTTCGAAGATAATCGTCCATTAACCCTTTCAGGCACAGCGGTTACTACAGCGGGCACCTTATCAGGTTGTCGGGTTACAGTCGATCATTATTTGTGCATGGCAGGGTTCAAATTGACTCCAGAATACAACAAAACTGTGTCCAAAATAGTAACTAGCTTCAGATCCAAATTTCAAACCAATCTGCTGGCTCAAAATATTGAATAAAAGTAACCCAATCTTCTGAAGATCCACAGCTACCCAGCGAGTGTGTTAAAAAAAAAAAAAAACAATCATTTTTTTTGGTGTGTGTGTGTGTGTGTGTGTGTGTGTGTGTGTGTGTGTGTGTGTGTGTGTGTATATACAAAGAAAACAAAATACAGGATATGACCGACAGCAATATCTATGAAATTGAAGAAGGAAAATAAAGAGGTTAACGACAGAGAATACAAAATTTGACTTTTCCCTGATTTTATACTAACAGACAGGCTTGGAAGAACACAACGTAAATTTCAGGTGTAATTCCTCATCAGAAATACAAACTTACAGAAAGGGTTTTCACAGTCATTCCCTTGATTCAGTTTAAAAAAAAAAAAAATCTGCAAATATGCAGGGGTCAACTGCAGTCTTATGTTGTAATATCACCATTCACCGATAGATGGCAGAAATGTCTTACTTGCGCTCCCACTGGATATTATACCGCCTTATACAACAGTGCAGTGGTTCTTAACCTTGTTAGAGGTACCGAACCCAACCAGTTAATATGCACATTCACCGAACCCTTCATTCGTGAAAAATAAAAGTATGATTTTTTTTTTTTTTTTTTTTTTTACAAATTCAAGACATAAAAAACACATTTATTAAAACCAGAAAAAATGAAATAAAATTTCAAGACATAAATATACGTTTTTTTTTTAAATTGTGCACAAAATGAACCCGCCAGTGATGGCCAAGCGGGCGTGTCATAACTAATTGACATGTTGAGTCGGGTGTGTCTTACCGTCCATGGCGGCGGCTCCGTCGAACCCCTGAGACCGATTCACTGAACCCCTAGGGTTCGATCGAACCCAGGTTAAGAACCACTGCGGAGTTGTGTTTGTGCACAGTTACTCAGTGCCTACACTGAATAGGCCTTTTTTTTTTTTTTTTTTGCGGCTATGGAGTGATATCCAACACAAACATTGCACCTTCCTAAAGTTATAATTTGAGTTGATGCTTGTGGAAAAAAAAGTACAACCTGAGTTCTTGCACTTATTGTTGGTTTCTTGTTCAGCGGTTTTGTGTCGTCCGCGAAAGGTCAATTTTATGCAAGAGAGCTCTTTGCACTGGAGGGAAAAAAAAAATTGTATTTTGTTCTTTACTTCAAACCCTTTGCTGTTGGGTTAGTAAAAACGGATCTTTTAGACATTTAGAAATCTGTTTTCAAAAAGAAAAAAATTCTAGGAGCACATATTTTGAATGGATGTGCGTGTTTTGTCCATATTTAAAAGAGCATTTTTGTCTTGGATCTGCTATTTAGCGAGGGACATTTTTGTTGTAAAAGTCGATGCAATGCACTTCTATATTTGATTTTTTTTTCCACACTGGCTAAATTGTTTCCATTATGTTTTTCCGCCTATAGGAGATGAGGCGCTTGTCCTTCTTTTCTGGTCACAGGTAAGACACAACTCTCTGTGGCTAACAGTGTTAGATGGAGGATCCTGTTGATTTTCGAAGTACTTGGCTGGAGATAAATGAATAAAAGTCGGTCTGCTATAAGTCTGCATGAGATAATTCGGCCCGAGTCCTTTGGAAGGTGCTCAGGTGGCCCACTGCGTACACGTAGAGACCAGACGACCCTCTTGCCCCGCTCTGTCCCACAGCAGTCACTTAAAACAGTGATAGATGTTCCCTTCGACACCCCCAACCGCCACCCCGCTTCCTCCGACGGCACCATCCTCCGTATTTCCCCCCTCTCCTCTGTGGTGCATGAAACAGCCTTGCTTTCTTTCTCTCCTTCCAGAATGAGGAGGAGGAAGATGCAAGAGAAAGCCGGGCAGATTTGAAGTGAAATGGAGGAGACAGTCCACCGCCACCCGCGCCTCAAAACCCCCAAGCTTCAAATCAGTATGCAGCGGCTGTTGCTAAGGTGATAAAACCGCTGGATGGGGGCCTAACTGCAGAAACATCAATAGTGCAATGGAGAACAGGGTTGCAGGTAAGGACAATGACAGAGCGGGTGGGGTGACAGACCGGCGGGGAGAAGAGGAAAAGCATCGATACGCTTTCCTGAACGGTCGTTATATACGCTGTCCTGTGTACATTAACCGGCCGCCATTTTGTGACCACTGTCTGATGATTTCAGCGCAAAAATATCTTGCTTTACAAATATAATACAGTGGTACCTCTACTTACGAACGTCTCTTCATCTGAAATGTTCAAGTTACGAAACGCCTCAGCAGGAAAATATTGCCCCTAGTTACGAAAGAAATTTCAAGATACGAAAGGTAAAAATACAGGATGGTCTGCTACTCGCAGCTCTGAGTTTCCTGAACGCAACATACTTATAGCTGCTCTGCCATTGGCTACTACCGAGCATCATCCTGGCATCCCATTGGCTAAGAGGGACCTCTCCAGAATACAGAATAGATAGATATGTCTCTATGCAGCGTCCTCGTTATTCGCCCCTCGGGCCATGAGGCGTTCTGATAGTTTTACGTAAATGTGAATCACCCAGAAAAAGTGTTCACCAGTTCAGCGATCGCTCACGATGCTGATATTTGCCTTGGACATTTTCGAAGGATTGTTAAAAGCCGACAAAAGCAAAAGTTCTTGGATCAGTTCTTTACAAAACGCCAGGCAAAAACCACTTCTGGGAGAGGACATGAACTAAAGAGGGCAAAAAACGACGAGGACGCAGTTAAAATAATGACCATCATTTTTCTTCTTTACTACATTCTTTGTTTTTTACATTATCCACAATTCTCATTTATTGCACAATGATCTAATTTTAACGTGTATTTGTTACATATTTTGATGCATTTTTATGCTTTAGGAAACATTTTTGTCTGAATTTGGGAGGGTGGGGGGCGAATTAGGGCATTTATATGGAAAACACGTCTCTACTTACAAATGGTTCTCGTTAAGAAATTTCTTCCAGAACCAATTAATTTCGTAAGTAGAGGTACCACTGTTGTAGTCAGTTGAATTTTTCAATATTAACCGACAGATGGACACTGAATTTCCCGAAAAGATACAAAGGAGTTCAGCAAACAAATCTTGCTAAATTTCTACCGTCATGAGTTCTCCAATGTCACATTCTATAGTGGCTCGTACAGACATTTTCTTATGCATTTTACTGCTGATCTTTGTTGAATTTCAGGAACAACTTTAACGTGCCCTTTTTCCAAATTTGAACTCTTTTAGACTTTGCGGCACGGTGCTCGACTGGTTAGCACGTCAGCCTCACAGTGCAGAGGTGCAAGGTTCGATTCCGGCTCCGGCCTTCCTGCATGGAGTTTCCATGTTCTCCCCCTTGCCTGCGTGGGTTTTCTCCAGGTACTCCGGTTTCCTCCCACATTCCAAAAAAAAAACCATTCATGGCAGGTTATTGGATCACTCTAAACAAATACATCAGTCTTTCTCAGTTCAATTTCAAAGTATACTTACTGAGATGTGTTATATGTTGACCTTTTCATGGTAAAAAGCTAACACTAAAATTACACAAAACAATGGTAATTGTTTTTTTTTCATTTACAGAGTAAATCAAGACTGTATAAAGATAGATCTTTTTTTACACAGTTCTTTTATTTGATCTCTTTCGACAGAGCAAGTGGTTAGAATGTTGCTGCCAGTCCATGTTAAATAGTCCAATAAAGTTCGTAAAATAACATGTAAGAATATCTGTATTATTATAATTTTTTTTATTTTTATGATGTGCTGAGTCAGGTAGGACGCACCGGTGTGCCATTTTAAAAACGTCACTTCTATGTATTTCTTCTCGCAGAGGTTTGTACTGTCAATAAACGGCTCGCAAAAGATCACATTTTCTCTCTTTCTTTGTGTACACGCGAAATGTTAGCGTTAAAACAAACAAACAAAGCAGGAATCCTCCAATTTCCTCTTTTTTTTTTTCACGAGTGAGTCTTTCATTCCCCTCGATATGTAAGATATTGGCTTTGTTGCCACAGGCGGCATGAACCATATAAGACAAGAACTCATATTTTCTGTGTGTGTGCGCGTGCGTGTGTGCGTGCGCGCGTGTGTGTACGTGTGCAATGGGGGAGGCAATGCGGCCAGGCTGCAGATATCATCCATCTCCCTGTC